AAACAGAAACAAAAACAGAAATAGAAACAGTAGCGATAGCAGCAGTATAAATGACAATTGTATTATGAAGAAACTGTTGAAGTTTTACCAGAGAAGCTGCTGTTAGCTGTTTGACTACACTGATCTTTGGTTGAACGAACGTATTCAGTCAGTTAGTTGGTTAGTTGGTCAGTCAGTCAGTCATTCAATCAGTTCAGCCAACCAAATTAATCAATGTGTGGCCTCTGTAAGTGTCATATGAAGTCGGTAAGTTAGTTATAAAAAAAAAAAAAAGGAAAAAAAAATCAAGAAAAAATACTATTGCACTTGTGAAATCACTACAATAAAAGCTATCCCTATTTGGTTAAGTCTTGAGTCTAATAACTGTTGCAACTGCTGTTGTTTAGTAACTGTAAAATTAAAGAGCAAATATTCTAGTTCTATAGATGCAAAAAAAAAAAAAAAAAAATCGTTTTTTTTTTTTTCAAGAGTAAGAATTTTATTTATTTGTTCCATTCATTTATTCGCTTTTTTTTTTTTTTTAACTACAATGTTATTTAACTGAAGTAGTTGAACAAGTCGAGCTGTTATTTTTAGACAATGTTACACCACAATTGTAATGTCAGGTAAAACAGTTACATAATTTAAACCAACAATTTTGAACTGTTTTTGTCGTTAAAGTAAGAAAAAATATTACTGCAATTATTTAGCACCACTTTTTTTTTTTTTGTTTTCATCTTCTAACTGCTATTTTAAACAATTATCCAAAAGAATGAAAGAGAGGAAAAAAACCGCAAGAAACACCCATATGATCACCTTCAAAATTTTTCAGCAAATAGTTTAAATACATTGTTTTACAATTACAACATATCCAAACTTCATTATACTCTGTCAGCTTAATTATAATACAACAGAAAAAAAAACAGTTCATTACACTCTCTCAGCTTTTTGCTACTACGATGCAAATAAATTTTTTTTCAGCTTTAAATGAGCGAAAAAAAAAAACAAATAACAACTGTAATAAGCAACTGAGATATTCAACCAAAAACAGCTTTGCTTTCAACCTTATCGTCATCCAAAAATAATACTTTTTTTAAGATAAAACTTATAATACTCAAAAAAATTGAAGAAATAAAAATTGCTTTTGTTGTGAACAGTAATCTGTGAATATATTATTATCCAGAAATAAGTTGAGGTATTATGAGAGATAATTTTAACGTCTAACCAAAAAGTTTTCTAGAATTAGTGCCGGCTAGTCGGATAGATGGGCCGATACTGTCCAAATAGCAAAATTTGTCCAATACAACCAAATTCACTGATTAAAACCCCAATTAACAAAACACCAACAACACCTCAATACATCTCTTCAACACATTAATAACAACAGCACCACCACCACCAACAACAATAATACATTTTCAAAATTCACCACCACTTTCCTCCTTCGTTTTCTAGTAACGGCAACAACAACAACAACAACAACAGTTCTGAAAGAATTTTACCGAGAAAAATATTCTATCCAGTGCGAGGGAAAAAAGAAACCAAGTAAAAAAAACTAACAAATGTACAAGTATGATTGATAAATAACGAAACAACACTTTTTAAGCAATTCAACAGCAAACTTCTCTCTTTCTCAAAAAAAAAGTGGAAGACTATAGAACGAAAAGAAAACCATTCCTTTTTCTCAATTTCATAGCTTCTTTTCCCCCAAAATATCAAATGTAACGTAAGTGAAAGACAAAAAACAAAGAAAAAAATTATACACATATTGGGAGAATTTTTTAGAAGCACTTGTAAAAGTGACACAGTTAATTTTAGCCATCTGAAACAATTGTAAACAGAAATAATTGATTGAACAATTCTTGTCCCATCCATTTCTTCCATAACACATCATCAATCGTTTCTTACTCCAACAATATTTGTCTCAATCGTATTTCTTTCCGCCCTATTTTTTTTTTGTTATTCCTTCACCCCTTTCACCTACCGATCAAAGTATTACCAAAACAATAACACGGTAGCATTTTTAAATATGCAGAAGAAGCCTTCAACTTTTTAAACCCTTCTTCACACACTGTACACTGTACACTGATTATTTGTAATTCTTTACAATAACAACAACACTCGAAAAAATTGACATCACATTGGTCAACCAACTGTACTGAAAAACATAAACTGTTTACAACTCGTCTAATTGACTTTGACCACTATCCTTTTTACTGTAATTTAATTGACAAGTTATATGAATGACCGTAATAAAAGAATGAAGGCATTAAATTAGCCATCCTTTTTCTTTTTCTTGTACTCAGTGTCCTGTTGAATCCCTAATAATTCGTAATGATTTGTATCTGATGATCATTTGTCATAAAAACTTTATCAAACGTGTAAAAAAACAACTGCTTCTCTACAATAACTTTAACAATTAGTCAGGGCACGTAATACTTTAACATAGTTGCATATATACTGTAAAGCGATCAAGTGCAAAAAAAAAAAAAAGACAAAAAGGAAATGTCAGAGCACAACTAAAGAGACCCGCAAAATCATATAAATTCACTGACTACAATAAGTGGAATAAAACAAGGAAAAACAATAACGAGACAAAACTGAACTTGCCACTATTAAAATCAACAATACCTAAGCCAAAAAAATCATGGTCGGATACAGTGACAGCTTCAAAACACTTACATGTCGGCCTAAAGCTCACGCCATTTGTATTTCCAAAACGTGGATTAGAACATCAACAAAACAAAAAAACAAAAAAAACAATATAAAATTCTATTTTATGAAAAGAATTTGGAAAAACGCCTGTAACAACACTTTAAAAACTCCCTATAGATAAAGTAAAATGTAATAATACTTAAGTGAAATCAGCAAAATCCATCTTTCAGCAATAAACGAATGAAGTGTAGACCACTTCAGCTAAAAGACTGTATTGAATAAATGCATGAAATTCTGGCCAACTTCATCATTCCCAAGTATCCGAAGCCAAAATTTGCATACGTGTAGCTCCAAACAGTGCTTCGAACTTAAAAAATTACAAAAACTACTAGAATCAACTTAAACAATGTAATTATAAAGAAACAATATGACGAAGTGACACATAAAAAGCGTTAAAAGACAGAAAAAATCGCAAGGAGTGAACCTAACAATTTCGTATCGTCGATCCAAACGCTTGAAAATGTTGTAAAAAGACGATCCCTAATTAAACTTTAAAAGAATATCAGATTATTTTTAAAGAGATCAACTTTGCTACAAAGAAAAAACGTCCATTTCTGTGACTGTAACTTTGAAACCCTTGCAAAACAGCTGCAACAAAAGTAAAGAGGCATAAACGAAACAAAATTTTAAGAAAATGAGGAAATCCTTTCGACAATGAGATACTTAAGATAATGCAACAATTAACAGTCTAAAAACTAATAATCAAATTGACACATATTTACACTAGAAAACCAATTTACCTAAACAACGGAAAAAATAAAAATGTCTAGCAGACAAGCGCTCGTAGAAGAACTTTCCTTCTTTGCTAATCCAAAAACTCTAATACATTTAAACAAAAAAAGCAAAAAAGGAACAATTTTTCTCAGATTTACGGTCTTTCAAGGCGTCTGAATACGGCTCGTAATAGTCGTTAAAAGAAACTACTAACATAAAAAAAGTGAGAAAAAATTTTAAGTGAGAATTACAAGAAAAATCCAAGAAAGTCCAGAAGTACAGGCAAAGAAACAACAATCAGGTGGAGTAGAAGGATCATAGAGAATTGCCAAGCTACACCAGAAAAAAAAAGATGGAAGACCTCAGTTCACTCCAGATCCTTATCTGCAGCCACTGGCTCTTCAAGAACTTCATCCGGATATTCTGCAAACAAGCCAAAAAATTAAGAATTTAGTAACTATAATTGTTTCAGTACCAATCTCTGTTATACAACGCTATGTTTAATTGGTATATTGTCTTGATGATACGAAATCAGAGTAGGCAAAACCGAAAAACCACTAACAAAGTCTCAGGCAGGAATAATTCATCAGAAAATTCCTAAAGCACCAAACACCTGTTTATAACAAAAGTAAAGTAACAATGACTTTCTATCACTTCACTATAAAAACCAGTCAACAATTCCGACCAAGTTACAAAAAAAATAAGAATTTTGCAGAAAGTTATGTAGAAAATGCAAGATTTTTAATTAGTAAGCGATGAAATAAATTTAAGGCACCTGGAATTGTTCCCTTCATATTGTTTTTGTCGTCACCTGACTCTTCAATGCATGATCCCTCTTTCTTTCCCTTAGACTCGAAGCTATCACCCGGCTAAACAAATCAGTGATAAAGCTTAGTAGTTTTTAACAATCTTACTGTAAAACAAATCAAAAGCGAACATCTTAAACCCCAGCTAATTTTTTTTTTTAAAGACAAAATGTTAACCATTAAGTAAGGAAACAAAACATCACAAGAAAGAGAAACACTAATAGCTGATAAAAAATTACTGTACACTTCTAACGACACATGAGAGCTCCCATTAAGCATTACAGATACACAAAACCGCAATGCAAGCATTTTTAAAAATTTCTGTTTTAGACTGAATTGTTATGGCTACCAAGGCTTCAAAATAGCAAATTTTATAAAGTTACACTCTCCGCACTACTCGTCAAAAGCTACTAGCTGACGTAGCACTATGCTTATAGTGTTAGAAAGTTAGTGTCTATACAGAATTTCAACCCTTATTTGTTTTTTCTTGCCTTAACCAACTAATCATCAATCTTCTCGTGTTAAAAATTCTTGAACTCCTAATCTCGAAGGAACTATATAGCTTCATCTAAGGCAAAATTTGTTCATAGTAAGAAAATGTCGCAGAGACAAACTTGCAAAATTTGAATATCTTAGGTCAACAACAACTACTAGATAGAATCTAAAAATCTAAAATATAAATATATTGTGAAGTGCGAGATGATATAGAACAAGTTTTTGCGGTCCGTAGATAAAAAACCTGGTCTTTCAAAAAATAAAGTAAGTCGCAAAATGTTCCTTACCCTTTTGTTTTCCTCGTTAGTACCAGTAATTTGAACCTTTTCTTGACAAAAGTGGGCAACCAATTTGTATAAGAACCGATATTGATCCTAAAATCCATATAATAGAATAATAAATGCCACATAAAAAAACACCCCCCTTCCAAAAGAAAAAATTGTCAAAATGACTCCTCCAACTCTTCTTCTGTTAACTTCAATCAAACTTACAAAGTTTAAGGTGTTAAAAATGAATTTGTCCTCTCTATTTACTGATTAAAGCAAGTGAAAAAGCATTATGAAAAATACAATCTGATTTTCGAAATGATAAGGGAATTCTTCACAAAATTACGAGTTGGGCTTCATACGGTGGCTAAAGCGTAAATATTTTCAGCGTTTTAATGTCATAAAAACTACTTTTACGGTTGTTTAGGTATATACATATATGTACAGAAGAAGAGGGGAGAGATAGAAGAGAAGAGAGGAGAGAGAAGAGAAGGAAAAAAAAGAGTAAAAAGCAGTTAAAGAACTTACTAAAGTCTGTATCATCGATACCCTCTTTCCCCTTAGCTTAGAAACAATCACGTCCAAGCGCAATTCCTTCAATTTCTAAAAAAATACCTTTAAATCTCACTCAAAAACTAGATAAAATTATCAGATATTGAAAAAAAAAATGAATCCCGAATGCACTACTGACCTAAGCGTACCTTGGCTTCTGAGCAGCAAAAAATTATGAAACAGAATATCATATCATCCAAAAATTTTGTAGTGGAAATCGTTATTGAAAAAAATTTTTAGCTTATGAGCTTCAAACTTCTTTATCTTATGAATTATTTACTTTTTTCGAAAATTTAGGAAATAAATTTAATATTCGGAAAGATACGTGTCATGATACTAAAAAGGAAAAATAGGCTCATTAAGTTAATTTTGTTTGGTTTACCCTCGTATTCCTTCGTCGCTAATAAGCAGTAAGTTGCTTTCGTGTACCCTAAAGAGTCCCGCCACAAATTAGCTCTAATCCTTTTATGAGTAAATGCTCTTATTGACATTATCTCTAAAACCCATTCTAGCATTAATCTAAAGCCATCTTATTATGCCCAATAACTAGCTACGTCGTGCAAAACTCATGCTATGCTATGCAAGCAGTGAAGCAGTTAAACTAGCAAGAGCAAGTGACAGTACTAAACGAAACTGTTTAGGAAAAACGTATTCCAAACAACGACTTGAACAAAATAGCACACTGAAACAGTGTTGCATGACTCCTTTTTTAGATTTATAAATCAGTTGTGATGCTATACAAAAGAAATCTAAATATTTTACATTTTGGGCGACACTGACAAGTCAGTAAACCAATTTATAAACTTGTGAACTCAAAACCTATAGTGCAACCTTCGAACAGGTAAACCTTAAGGTACACTTGGCAAGATTTTATCCTCTCAGACACTTTTGATCTTACCCAGCAAACAGTCATAGACGTTCAAATACATATTTTATAACCTTCTCCTTCACCAAAATATCACCGCAAAAAAATTTTCTTCCATATGTGGTACTGTCAAAAAAAAAAAATCCTGACCGGTCCGCTAATAAGCTCTCGTGCAACATTTGCTGCGATGACAGTGCCCGTTCGACCGCAACCTGCACTAAAAACGATACAGCTACAACATATAATTAAATAGCACTTTTTAAAGTACGTTATATGCTGGCAATAAACATTTTTAATTAAAAATTTACGAAATTTAATAACTGTTTGTACAAATTGCCTGCAATGTACAAGAACTGTTTTCTTTGAAGATTCATCACGAATTTCGCTTATAGTTCTAATCAGTTTTAAAATTGGTCCTTCAGAGGATGGGCAACCATGGTCTGGCCATTCCGTGTAGTGCAGCTGCACCACCTTCTCCATACTTCCATCAGGATAACATAATTCTAAATCTCTTCTGGTAAATTCCTCATCTTTTTTCTCTTCTACTAAAGTAGCTGTTGTCTCTCCAAACTTTTCTTCCTTCTTACTAGATTCAGGCCAATAACGTTCACATTTTACCTACAAAAAGTACATTTTATAACAAACAGTACGCAAATCACAAAAAAATGTTGCAAAATTCAAAAACACCAACAGAAAGCAGCAAAAATTCTGAAAAGCTTATGAAAAAAAGACAAGCTCATAAAACTACCTTATTCGACTCAACCAATTTGCATAAACAAACAATCACACCAACATTTTCCTGTTGAATCATGTGAAACCAATCATCTAGAGTTTCCTTTAGCGGAGCTTGAGCAGCGATGTATCTGTGATGGAAATTACTACTTTGAGGTTAAAACATCTTTAAAAAAGACATAAACAGAAAAAATTTGGCAAAAAAATTAAGTTAAGCAAAAAAAAAAATGAACAGAAGTGTGAAAAAAGCACTAAAACCGTTAAAAAATTTCAGTAAAGCATTTTTAGTAGATACCCGGAAGAAACAGGTCGAAATAAAAAAGATAAAAATTATATTAAATATGATAAATATGACATGTTTGAGACGTTATTTGTAAAGGAAAAGTTTGTAAATCAATTTCGAAAATCTTATTGCAAATATACTTAGTATTCGTGTTATCATATTGGATAGGCGACGCATTAATATAGTCTCCATCGTCCTCCTCTGTTACTGCGTCACCATTAGATTTGCTCTGCTGTCTTAGACGGACTCGATTATTATCAACTAGAAAGCTCATCCACTTACATTTATGGTAT